GCTGTCCTGGTGGCGGGCACACTGACAGTCCTGACTTCGGCATTACACAGTGTATCCATGTAACAAAAACACTGTACCCCCTTTTAATATTTTGAAAAAAATAGAATTGATGGAGATGTTTGAGTATTTTGTCATCTTTTTAAAAACAAGGGAGAAGAAAGGATTATTTCCTTTTCCCCTGCATATATTTGACTTTCCTTGACTCATTTTTTGATTAGTACCTTGAAATATGCTTATTGGCGGGGGGCTGCAGGAGGAAGTATATATGTATATGCACCAAAAAAATCTGGAAGACTGTACCCAGAATGTTAACACTGGTTATCTCTGTTTGGTGGGAGCGGGACTGAGATGGATTTGTTGTTCTTGCCTGCCAAGACCCCTATTTCCTTTGGGCAAGAGATCTCTTCCGTTCCTTGTGGTTGCTCATCGCAGTATACTTGTTCGATATAGTGCCTCATTCCCCTGGTAACAGTTTTGGAGGCCAAGGGGTGGACATTTCACTCAATCACTTGCCCAGAGCCAGAGTCCTTCCCTGGGGCCGATATATGAAACTGGGGGTAGCTCTCCTGCCTGGATGTAGTTGAAAAGCTGAGGCTGCCTCACTCCATGTTGCTCTGCAGAGGAAGAGGCCAATGTGGGAAGAGAAATCAAGACAAGGAGAGGAGAGAAGAGAGGGATAGTAAATCCTATGAGCACTGTATCTCCAGTTCCAGTCTCCAAGACCTTGATCCTTGGCGTTTGTCCTTCAGTTTTGTACCAGCTATTGTGAACCATACATAGACTGGTCTCTGATGAAGCTAGTTTAGGTTGGAATTCTGTTACTTGGCAAGTGAAAGAATCTAACTGGTACCTAGGATAGTCTTTGTGTGTATTTAATATTTTACGTAATTTTCCTGGAATGACCATGTATTACTTGTTTAGTAGAAATATTTTGAAAAGAAACACAATGCATTTGTTTTAAAAAAAGAAAGAAAACTTAAGTGCCCTCTGAAATGCTCAAAAGCAGGCAAAACGTAAAGCAGAACATAAAAGTTGTGCAAGTCCTCAAAAGGACGTAGGCCACTTTATCTCCTAGGGAATGTTATCATTAAGATGAACAGGAATTTGTGGTGAAACAAACCCCCGCGCCCCCACTCAGTGGGTGTGCCTGGTGGGTGTAGGGGAGAGTAAGGGCTTAGCCCTGGGCAGAAAGTCTGTTTTTCAATGGACTAGGGAGTCTGTGATACTGAGCTTTGGAAGAAGGAAATTATCCCTTAGCCTTCTGTCCCTCACCAGATCAGGTCCTTTGTCTGAGCTCAGTTTACACTGAGTCTAGCTCTCATATTTTGAACTACAGTGTTGTAGGCACTTCACATCCATTATCTCATAGAATTCTCAAGGGAATTCGGAGTGAGTCAGCCATCAATATCCCCACATTCCAGAGGAAGAAACTGAGGCTGAGAGAGACTAAGTGCGGCCAGGAGCAGTCAGACTCCAGAGCCTTCCTAGGAGCCGCAGTGATCCCTCTTCCTGTCTCACTTGTAGAATGGGCATCGTAAATCGTCTGCCCGACGGTAAGGGAGACAAAAGTCAGCTGAAATGAGCCGGGGTAAGCACTGTTGTCTCTGTCTCCAGTTGGCAGATGCAGTGATTCAGGGGTGAGGAGTGCGGGGTGGCGCCCGGGAGGTTGTAGGAGGTGGAGTGGAGGTGGTTGTAGGAGGAGGAGGGTCCCAAGCAACTGAGCTGGCCTCTGTCCTCTGCCTGGGCCTGCCCAGCCCCACCCCCAACTCCTGAGAGTTGCTGCCCCCTTCCCAACCAGCACCGAGTGTCTTCCCAGGCGAGGCCTTGCGCAAGCCGACCTCGGTCCGGTCCCTTGGCCCCGTGCCTGCGGTCCCAGCATCGGGCTTCGTGCCGCCTCCCCGACCTGGCCCCCAGCCATCGGCCCCTGGCGCCTGGCCAGTCACGTGGCACCTCGGGCCTCTTCGGTCGGCTTCCCTCGCGTCCTGATTTAACTCCCTCCTCGCCCTTCGCCTCTGCCCCAGTCCCCCTGGGCACCACGCCCGCTCTGAGGAGCCGGTGTCGGGGACTGTCTCGCTGAGGGATCTCTGGCCTCAGTTTTCCTGCCTGTTAAGTGGGGCCCCCACCCCACTACCGCCGCGACTCTGTTGATCGCGGCCTACTCCTGCCCCGTCCTTTCCCGCCGCCGCCCACTCCCACCAGTCTCCGGAGCAATTCCGAGGACTGCACTCCCTTCAGGGCACTGGACGGTGGGGAGAAAGAGCCCAGGAGCCCCAAGGGAGGTCGCAGAACTGGTCTGAGAGAAAATCCACAAGGCGACAGGGTGAAACCGGCCAGCCTCTGGCGTCAGACGGGTGTGGGTTCGAATCCTGCCCTGCCTCTGATATGCTGATGTCGAAACCTTCGTCTTTCCGGGTCTCAGTTGTCCGCTCGCTGACACGGAGCCCTGCTGGAGACTAAGGGTGGAAGCGTCCAGCTGGGGCTCGCTGACCCGAACCAATGAGGTCCCCGCCACCGCGTCCCTGCCCCAGCCCGGAGCGGCGCCTCGCCTCCCAATCCCGGTCCCGGCGCCCGAGGCTCCTCCTCCGCTGACATCAGAGCCGCAGGCGCCGGAGAGCGGCAGCCGAGCCGGGCCGAGCCCCAGCGAGAGCGCGGGCGAGCGGGCCAGGCGCGCAGCGGTTGCGGACGGCGGCCAGAGCTCGGCGCCAGCCACCTCGGGCCTCCCGGCCTGCCTCGCGGCGGGGCGGCCGCAGGTACAGCCGCGGGCCAGCGCGTCCGCGCCCCGGGCGCTGCGGGGGGCGGCGGGAACCCGCAGCCACTGGTTACCGTCCCCCAAGATAGGGTCGCTGGGTGTCCTCCCTGGCGGGCTGGACCCTGATGGGCAGGGCTGGGCCCACCAAGCCCAGGCCCAGCAGGTGTCAGGCAAGCCCATGGAAAATTGAGCGGGTAATAGAGGAGGGTGGGGAGGGAGCCTGTGTGTGTGTGTGTGTGTGTGTGTGTGTGTGTGTGTGTGTGTGTATATGTGTGTGTATGTGTGTGTGTGTATATGTGTGTGTGCGTGTGTGTGCGCGCGCGCGGGCGCGCGTTCGGCCAGGCCCGAATGTGGAAGGGCGTGGGCATTTGGAGGCATAGATGGAGGCGGGGGGCGCTGTGGAATGTACTGATGTCTCAGGACAGGAGGGGTTGCAGTGTCTTGGTGTGTAAGGATTTCCTTATGGGTGGGGATGTCTGGGAATCAGGGTGCTTTCTGTTGCAGGTGGGTGTCCAGGTGTCGTGTGTGCTGGTATCTGGCTCTAAGGGTAGTAAGTCAAAGTTGGAAAGGGGTGTACAATTGTGTACTGAGGATGGTTGGAGTTAGATGTGTAAGGAGTTGGGGTTTGGTTTGGCGTGTAGGAGCTTCTAGGGTATGGGGTAGAGGAGCAGGAGGGTGTAGGGTATGAGTAAATCTGGGATGTCTGAAATATGGGAGTTGGGGTGTGTGTGCACGTTTGGGTGTCATCTTGTCCAAGTGTGTGTGGATGTGTGTTTTGCGGTGTGAGAGGGGTCTGGGTGAGAGAGGTTTCAATGGCCAGGCAGGTGTTCAGGTGTAAAGATGTGTGGGGAGTGTGTGTGTGCACGTGCATGCTGATGTCTGGGTATCCATGTATGATGAGGTGTCGTGGTGTCTGGATACAAGGTGTGCTGGATCTGGGAGGCACGTGTTTGGGTTCAGGGGTGTGGATGGGGCTTGGTGTGGGGTGTCTGCTGCAGGGATGTGTGTGGAACTATGAGAGTCGTGTATGCCAGGCCTCCGGATGGGATTCAGACTCTGCCTCTGGAGCTTACCATCGAGTCTCCTTTCCTAGAAGTTTCTGCCCCTGGGATGTATGGCCAGGGTCCCCTGGGAACAAGGTCCCATTCAAGGAGTGGAATGTCACACCAGAGACTCTAGTCAGGGCACCTTCCCCTCATTCTCTCACAGAGAACAGACAAGGAAAGTGCCCTCCCTGGGGGTCACATAGCATGCTGGGCTCTGTTTTGGCCTCACCTTCTGTGGGCCTGGGATGGGGTTGAGAGGCTGTGTTTTCTGAATGGGCCCCAGTCTGGCTTCATATTGGAAGGACCAGCTGAGAGCAGCTCCTCCATGGCCTTTGCCTTCAGCAAGCTTAGCTGGGGACCCAGCTGGGTGTCATTTGGGCCTCTGGACCCAGCCCCTGCCCATCTCCAACCTCAGTCTCTCAATTCTGCATCTGATAAATGGGCAGAGAACTCCCAGCTTCTCTTGCTGGATGAGAGAGATGAAACAGAGGCCTCAGCAGGGGAAGGGCCAGGCTGGGTCAGGGTGAGATGGCACCAGCAGGGGATAGCCTGGGTAGGACCATTTCTCAGGCTGCTGGGACCCAGATGGGGAGTCAGGAGGGAGAGGCCTGGGGAGCTCCAGATGTGGCTGCTGTTGCTGTGGTAACAGTGCAGAAAGAGCTATTTAAAAATGTGGCTGAGATATTGCTGGAAGCCCAGGCTGCTGGAAGCCCAGGCTGCCGGAAACCTGATTTCCAAGAGGCCGGGGTGGGAAAGAAAAAGGATGAGGGAGAGGAGACACCCCAGCAATTCCCAGGGTGGGGCTGGGACATCGCTGGATCTGGGGACAGGGGGATCTTCCAGGGCTGTGCACTTCTACAAGCTGCTCTGGGGTTTTTATCTGTTATACTGCAAGAGGTCAGGGTTTTCCTGGGTGTTTGGAGAGGGAGAAACTGGGGAGTGAGCTTGAAAAAGTGAATGAACAAATGCATGACTTTATTGGATAAAGAATTTTGCTGCCACCATGAAGGTTTCTCTCTACGCATAAGCATTTGCTGAATGGATGTTGTTGAATAAACAAATGACTGGTGAATGAAGGTGTGTTGAATGATTTTGTCGAATAAATGGATCAAGGAATGAATAAATGCAGGTTCAGTGACTGAATGGGGCCTGCAGTGAATTTCCAGACAAGGCTGGGCCCCGCCGAGCTTCCTCCCTCTATTCTCCTTCCCAGGAGTCCTGGCTGTGGCCAGGGGGCAGTGGGCCATGCCGGGGGCAGTGGAAGGCCCCAGCTGGAAGCAGGCGGAGGACATTAGGGACATTTATGACTTCCGAGATGTTCTGGGCACGTGAGTCTCACGGTGGGGGGCGTTGGGGGCTGGATGGTTGGGGGAGGCTGAGTCCAGGGTGGTGCTTCCTCTGGTCAGTTGATCAATGCTTCCTGTTTCTTACAGCCCAGGCCCTGTGGCAGCTTTGCCTTGGCCTAGACTGGCCTCAGCTTTTCACTTCTGGCCGCCAGTGGGTGGGACAGGGGCTGTACTTCCCATAGCTCCCGGCTTCTGCTGAAGAGAAGGAAGTGGAGGAGAATGAAGGGACCAGTTTTTTCTAACTTGCTGCCAAGAGCTGGGTGTTCTGGCCTAGGTTTGGGAACTGAAGCTGGGCATGGCTCTGTGCTTGGTGCTAGGAATCCAGAAATAACTCAAACCTGGTCTCTGCCCCTTAAGTTGATCCCCGATATGTAGGGGAGACAGACCCACAGAAAATGGCAACGGGGTGTGCACTGTGTTCTAGTGAAAGTCTGGAATGAGGGCTTTGTAGAGCCCAGAGAGAGTTGTGGCTTCCGCCTGGTGAAAAATTATCTGGAGAAGGGGGCGTTGGAGCTGGGGACTGAAGGGTGGGTAGGTGTGCACTTGTCATAGAGGACGAAGGGCATTCCCGGAGAAGGGATAGCATAACCAAAGGCTCAGCGTCATGGTATACATGGAAAGAGGTAGAGTTTGGTGGAGCTGAGGGAAGAGTGGACAAAGATGCTGGAGATGACAGTGGAACAGTTCATGCAGGGCCTTGAATGCCAGGCCGAGAAGGCTGGATGTTATCCCACAGGCCATACGAAGACATTTAAGACTTTGGGGCAGGTTTGCAATTCAGGTTAGTCACTCTGGCCACAGCATGGAGGGCAAATTGGAGAGGGACAAGACTGGAAATGAGTGATGAGATGACCATAATCACTACTTATCCCTGATGGTTGAAATTTCACCATGAGAGATGCTTTTCTTTGACTTATAACTTCTTATTCTCCCAGGGAAAGCAAACAGATGTGGAAAGAATACGCTAGTAAATCCTCCTTAATCAGTGAACTTTAATATAAGTGAGTTTATTTGTTCTTTTCTGAGAGCCTATTCTAAAGTACTGCTTCTTAAACTTCAGTGAGCATACAAATCACCTGAGCATTTTGTTAAAATGTAGATTCTGATTTAGTAAGTCTGGGATGGGGCCTGAGATTCTATATTTCTAAAAAGTTCCCAGGTGATGCTGATCATTCTCCAAAGTTCTGAAAGGTGTTAAATTAGCCATAACTCAAATTGGCTTTAGCAGAAAAAAGAATCAATCAACTGAGCACATAATTAAAAAGTTGAGGAG